TGGTTCTGGGAAAAAGCATCATATTAGGCCACTTCATCTTATCGGGGGATCATTATATCGAGAGTGACTGTGTACATAACAATCACTAAACAATGTGTCCCATTAAGACACGTAAATGTAAACAAACTATACGTATGCGCTGATATAATCTGACATAGCTATTAACATGAGGTTGAATACACACAAGTGTCTATGCCAAATATCTGACGAGTAATATTGCTCGCTGATAGCTTCTTATTTATTGTGTGGTTTTATTAATGTTCTCATACGTGGAAAACAGTAAAATAAATTTTATGGTGTAAAACTAAGTTTAACAGATGGTAAAGCCACCAGTATAATGTGTACGCATATTGATGTAACAGTGATAGAAAAAACTGTCGGTATGTAATTCAGGTTTTCAAAAATTTTAGAATTTATTTTATCAGTATTGGCCATCCATTATTAGAAGTGCATGCCTCAAGCCTTCTTGGAATGCTCTCAAACTGTTCAGAAATTAGTGATTGTTCTTGTTTTGGAAAAACACCAATCCTTTGACGTTTTGGAGAATGTCGCGTCAATAATTACGGGAGGAGCAATACTCACGACTTTGTCGACATGTAGGCAGGAATAAGAGGTGATTCTTTTTAGTCGATATAAACATTAGCGGTTTTATACCGATAATTTAACAGGTAATAGTGCATTTTAGAGCACAAAGAAGATTCGGTTGCTAACTTACGAGAATAAAAAAATCAAAGGTAACTGAACGCTCGACCACTCGACCATTGGAACACTGCGAATTCTATTTGTCAAATCAATCATATTCAACTAAAATATGATTTTATGGAATAAAGTTTGCATCAAATATAAATATAATTATAATTACGCTTCTAAATTTAGAATAATTATTGCAAGTAAGACAGCTTTAGTTTGAATTTAAAAGGGCTAAACTGTCCCTCTAAAAATTCCAAATTTTAATTCAGTAAAATATATGAATTATGAAAAAAAGAGTTGATCGTAGAGTAAATACAGTGTGTGACAAAAAAACTTAACTATGGCAAATTTGTTATAAAAGCCAGAAAGATATAAATTTTATTTAATTTGCTCACTTATTCGATACGATTTGGTTAAAACTGTTGCGAGCATTGGCGTGGTCATAGCAAGGTGTCTTATAATTTTAACTGCCAATTGTCGATCCCAATAATGTAATAAACGTTTTTAAACCGAAATAAAAGTTCGTGGGCTGTGCATCTTTTGTTCGTACGCGCTTGTTGACATTTTGCCCACACAATTTTAAAATGCTTTTTTTTATGTAATACGTGTAATAAAAGACTATTTTTACATTTTTCGACCGTAAAAATCGACGACGTTTAATTAATTAAATTACTTTTTAGCATACGATGCAAATTCTCTGTTGCAGAAAATAAGACTGACTTACGGAATGGGAATCCGTCAACTAAAACACTGTGTCCCAAGATGGTGGGATGTGCTTATCAATTCGGGTCTATTTTATCATTTGAGCTCGAGACAGGTCATCAAGCACTAGTAGAAAATTAGAAGAGGTGACTGAGGATAACAAATAATAAACATGCTTCAATGACGCAAGCTTCCAGGAGGCTTTAATAGAGCGCCTGCTTTGACAATCCGCAATAATGATAAAAGACCAAGATGTGGGTATGAAATTGAGCTATTGGCTTGTCTTCTCTTCTTTTTTAATAAATTGTGGGCAATCTCTTTTATTTCGTTGACGTACTAATTGATGGTTATATACTACGCATATCCCACGTTACTCAATTATTACGCAACCTTGAAGAAAGCAACATGTCGAAAGACTTATAAATGGACAGCTCACATTAACCAGAGTGATACACACAATGCTCTTGTCTGACAATGAGTGAGCATCACAAAGTTAATGGATTTACTATCAATGTTTATTTATAAGGTTAATCGCCAAGAAAGATTCCGTTAATTGACATCAACCATCTTATTGGCAAGTTTCACATTACACCTTTTGATCTCACTTTGTGATTGAAACGGCAATGTTACAAAGAGCAATCGAATTCTTGCTTTCTCTCACATGCAATATGCGTACACGTGATGTAACATTGCATATTGCATATTTTGCCGCTATTAATACTGAATATAATCACGTGATCTGTGAATGAGCAGGAGTCTAGGTTTCAGTACCAACAAAAAAGAATCTGCTGTAGATTAACATTGTTCCATTGTGTAAATTATGCTTCATTTTTCCCAATTGACAATGACACATGCTACCGCCCATCCTTTTCATCCTACCACACCCAATCACGCTATGTTTCAGTGTAAATTGACGTCACCATTCCCAATTTTCCTCCCTCAGATCAATTGACATATTAGATAAACCGCACCATCCATTCCCTTTCTGTAACGGCTTAGCTTATTAGTTATTTATCAGCAGATGTCAGATAAAAGGCGACAGGGTACTGTACTGAAGGCAAAGCAACCAAGCTTACACAATAAGCGGCGACGGAAAGCTGGAACCACCTTGCGATCCCCTACGATGCCTGTTACCCCAACTGCACGACCCTCCGCTAGCTCTCCAATCTCTTCCACCTCTCCTCACTCTTCAAAAATGTAAGTCTAAACATCCACGAGCAACTTTACGCAAGCGTAATTAAATGGCTTTATCAAACATTATTTCATTAAATTGCACCAATCGCCTATGCTGGTGGCAACTGTGACTTCGAACTCTCACTAATATTACTCGCCAATTCACTCAGGTACCCCTCCTCGTACCCTACACATTCACGCCATACAAAGACAGACCACTCAATACCCTCTTCAACGCCCTCATCAGAAGTCAATGTCGAGCCTATTATAACAGAAGATGAGGAAGATCTTGAGGACTATGTCAAAGGTGGATATCATCCTGTACAGATAGCTGATACATTCAATGAAGGGAGATATGTGATAGTTAGGAAACTGGGTTGGGGGCACTTCTCTACTGTATGGTTGGCAAAAGATACACGGTGAGTAGATTAGGGCTTATGACGAGCATAGAGCAGAGTATAATGTCTATATATGCATACTCGATAATTACACACTTTACAACGTGGTGCCTCATTTATTAATCAAACATTCTCAACAATCCACTCATCTAAATGCTCATCTTTCCATCTATTCAGTCTTAATCGTCACGTTGCACTCAAAATAGTCAAATCCGCACAACACTATACGGAAACAGCTTTAGACGAAATTAAACTTCTCCAAAAAATAGTAAATACTAATCACGAAGCACCCGGCAGGCGTTACGTTGTAGAATTGCTCGACCACTTCAAGCATCGAGGCCCAAATGGTACACATGTCTGCATGGTATTCGAAGTACTGGGCGAAAATTTATTAAGTTTGATAAAGCGATACGAACACCAGGGCATACCACATCATCTAGTCAAACAAATAGCTGAACAAGTGCTTCTAGGACTGGACTATATGCACAGAGAATGTGGTGTCATTCATACGGATCTAAAGCCAGAAAATGTATTGGTATGTGTAGATGACGTCGAAGAGGTTATTGCTCACGAATTAGCAAGGAGCGGGAAACCATTGGTTACACCACCATATCAGAAATCAGGAGGAGTTCGAATTACAACTAGCCAGCCTCTGTCAATACCGACGCCTGGGACTATTTCCTCTTTTAATACAATACAGCTTCAACAACCTCCATCTAGTTCATCAAGATTAAAGACTAAACAAAAACATAAATCAAAAGAGGTTTCAAATGGGGAACCAATGAATGGCGTAGAAGATACCGTAAATTCCGAAAAGAACTATATTTCAAAAACTGACACAGAAACATCTGATGTAGTTAGTAGCCCAGTGTCGACGTAAGTAAGGATCCTTATTGCTTCCCTATACTCCCCCTTGTATCCTTTCTTACTATCATCATTTATTATTTGTTTGCCGTGTTGTCTGTTTGTCGACAATATTTATCATGTGGTGCATGTCGGAACAGCGATTTATTGGAACGCAATTTTAATGACATTTCCCTCGTCGACACATCAAGTCCACGTCAGAAAACGGCAAGTACGTCAAGTACGTCTAATACGTCGACTAAGAAATCGGGATCGATTAAGAGGCAGTCAACTGCTGCACGGACGTCTAAACACCTGGCCCCTACGACAATTACGGTCAAGATTGCTGATTTGGGGAATGCTTGTTGGGTCGATCACCATTTTACGAACGATATTCAAACTAGGCAATATAGATGTCCGGAAGTAATCCTAGGCGCGAGGTGGGGGCCGAGTGCGGATATTTGGAGTATGGCCTGCATGGTGAGTTCACAGTCATTCGTCGTATGGTATTGGTGATTAAAGTCAAAGTATGATTAAGAACGTTTGCTCATAAAATTTTTTCTCGCTATTTCTAGATTTTCGAGCTTTTGACCGGTGACTACTTATTTGATCCAATATCAGGGGCGCGCTATAACAAAGATGACGGTAAGAATTTAATAAAGTTTTTTTTCATAAATAGTCTATTGTGTGCTAACACGCAACGGCCGAGTCTGACGTGTTTGTTTATTTTTCTATTCGTTAGATCATATGGCCCAGATAATAGAATTAATGGGAAACTTTCCGAAACACTTGGCGTTGGCTGGCAAATATTCTACGGAAATATTTAACAGGAAAGGTACCTGCAGCTACTATCCAATATGCTTATGAGCAATGATTTGAGAATTTTTTTTTCTTTTATGGATTGAACCGTTTCAACTCTAACATTATTTGAATATTATTTTTACTAATAGGTGAACTGCGCCATATTCATAAACTTCGCTATTGGAAACTGGCTGATGTGCTTAGTGAGAAATATCTTCTTCCAACAGATGAGTCAGAATTCATGGCGGGTTTTCTATTACCAATGTTGGATCTTAATCCAGAGAAGCGAGCTAGTGCAAGAGAAGCATTAAATCATCCATTTATCACCACTAATCGATGGGAGCAGTTTGCTGTCAGAGAGGCAGCTAAGAATGCCGAACGTGAGCGAGATAGAGATGAGGGTCAGGAAGGAGTTGGAAGCGCTCACGGACGGAAAGAATTAAAAAATATGTCAATTCGATGATTATAAATAGTAGAAAGAGGTGTAAGATATTTTTAGAAAATATGCTTTGTAGACGACGGACAGCACACGCTATTTGATTTAATTTTAAATTTAAAATTAATAATACATAATTATATTAAATAGCGTCATACAATAAAAACTCCGTTTTTGATACAGATTTTCACGCTATATCCAAGTTACAATGATGGAATTCGGGCAGTTATAAGTTAATCGGTTTTGCTCAAATTGCAGAATGTTATTCCAATTTTACTGGAAATCCCAGCGCAATAAATTTCAAAGGACTTTAATGTTTCAGACAGCGAACTCAGAAAGTGATGGTGCACGCAAGTAGAACGCGAGTTGAGTAAGGCTAGTTGGTGGCATTTGTAGCCTACAGAATTTCGCATAATAATGGGATATTCTGTATTACGTTTTGTGTTTTCATTTCTTGTGTTAAAAATAGAAACATAAACTACGAAATTTATGGTAAAGCTCGTCACGTCATTTAATATTTAATACTCTTTTATATTAAGTTAAAGTCATGTGAGATATGTTACTACATCACATGAGAGAAGACATTACAGTCAACCCTCTATAAATGCACGCCCTCGGGAATGAGCTGTAGCGTGCATTTACAGAGGGATGCATTTAC